ACCAAAGATGTTGATCACTCCCCTTGTAAACTTATCAACACATTTTAGTGTCGTGGTTTCACCAATTCTCAAATAGTCATCCACACTGTCAGCAGATGTTCCATATGCAAACATACAGATAACAACAATGCATTTCTGTAATAGCGAAAGATTTGTCCTACTTGTTGCATCAACCATCACTAGAAAATACTCATCATGTTGACCTAGAGCTTCAACAATACAAAGGAACATATGTTTGTACATTTGGTACCTTCTACAAAACTGCTCATTTGTGTATACCGGAGTTCCTGAAAAATCATTTTTGAACAATCAATCTTGTCCATCTTCACGATTCCTCTATATATTCCTTCTTTGACGTCTAATCCTTTTAGAGCGTGAGGCTTCTTATTCCATAAACAACCTCACAAGTTCTTCATCCATGTCATCATTCATATAATTCATAAATATTTTTGCAATATGGGAAGGATTGGAAGGATCCATGTGAAAAAAGTTCGATATTTGTTAGAAGATGATAACAAATTGTAGAGAATGCAAGAGGTTAGTGTGCATGCTAATACTATTTATAGGACTACTTTGAATAACAACTAGTTTGAATAACGAATAGTTTAAATAAGTCTAAAATACATAATCATACTAATTAAGTCCATATTAATTAATTCCAAAATACATATTCATACTAATTAAGTCAAATATACATAATCATATCAATTAAGTCCAAAATACATAATCTTATTAATTAAGCCCAAAATACAAAATCATACTAATTAAGTCCATATTTTTCTTTATTCATGTCGCACAATATTTCATGTGTTTGTAGTTGTCTTTTATCCATACTTGATGTATCTTTTGAAAGTATTTGCATATCATTCATCTTCAATCTTTCCTTAACACTCTCAGCCTTAATCTTTGCATCAATTTTTTTTCTCGCTATCTCAACTTTTTCACCCTCAATGTGTGCATAGTCTCGTGCAAACATTGACATCAGATCAATTTTTTTAAGTCATCTTTCAAAGAATCATATTTGACATTAGGAGTAGAAGACATTTCCACAAGGTTTTCTTTCTCCTTCCTTTTGGTTGTCTTTCGACCGATTGGACGACGAGACAAAGTAGGTGATGATAGATTGTGTTTGCTACTCATTTGTGGATTACAAGAAGAAGAATATACTCCTGAAACTGAATTCTTTGTTCTTTTTATTAAAGCTTCTGATGAACCTGCGAGCGATTTAGGTTCATCTTTCAATAATCTCCAGGTAACCTCAAAAGTAAACTTTTCACCTTCATCTTGAAAATAGATTTTATATGCAGCTTGCATGATATTGCTCTCGAAACTCCCACTTTGTTATGTAGACACGACTTGTTTGTAGCATCCAACAAACTTTTGAACGAATAGACTAATTTTGTGCCATTGACCTTTTTGTTGCGTCGGTTTCCTCTGTTCGTAATTGATGTCACGATGCTTGTTGTAAGCTTCGTCGATCCTCTTCTAAAAACTATCTCATTTTTATCAACTCCAACAATTGAATCCTTTGAAACATTGATTCGTGATTGAATGAGAGCTTCATCCTCTTTAGTTGGAACCTTTGTTTATGCATATTAATAACCGGCGCGGATGCAACTTCTTCACCAAAGTCAAAAGTTTCTAAGCTACCTAAATTGTTGCTTTTTACGTTCTTGGTCATTTGATTACGTACCTGGTCATTTGATTACGTACCACCGCTACCTATTTGAATCTCATGAGACATAATGGGGTTAGTTGGTTGATGTTAATATGGATAAGGTGGTGTATAATATGAATAATTTTTAAAGTTTAGATTATTTTGTGAATTTGGGATAAATAAAGCGTTTTGAAAATTTAGATTAGGGTGTGAATATGAGATAAAAGGTACATTTTCAAAGTATAGGTTGAAATAAAAGATGCTTTTTTTTAATTGTCACTACAATATGAACAAATTTTGTGGTTAGTGTTTTCAACACTATCTTATGCAATATCATCTCTAAAATTGATTTGAAAGTAGCATAAAATTAGACCAAAGAGCTATGTTGATTGTTATTCATTGACAAATAAATGTGTAAAAGAAAAAAAAGCAAAAGTTATGGAGGAAAAGCAAATATCTAGAAAATGAAGCTTTAGGCCTTGTAAGAACATTAATATGAACGGATGGTGATGAAGAATCCACGAAGTGGGTTTATCCGACTCCATTATTTCACCAGGTCGGTTACAATGACCAATCAAATCAATTATTGAGATGATATTGCATAAGATAGTGTTGAAAACACTAACCACAATTTTATCATATTGTGGTGACAATTTAAAAAGAAAAAGAGCAAAACTAGCATAACAATCTGGTAAAGGTACAAGCTCTTGTTGCTTGATTCAAGAAGAGTGAAATTGAAAAGGAAAGATAAAGCATGAAGACAGGCTTGAATTTTCTTTAAGGAGGGAGTGGGAAGAATCAAAACAGCCCTATGACAAAAAAGATTATAGAAAGAAATTTCATAAGAGTGAAGAACCAAGCCATAAGAATGCTTCATTCTTTACTCAAAATGAACAATTCAAACAATAAGCATCTCACTCAATTTGATCCTAGCAAAAAGAAACAACACGAAGTTAACTTTGAATAATTTAATGGAAGTAGGACATGGAGAATGTGCTCTTTATAATGGAGATTGGTCTTGTAACCAGTGCTGACAAAATATAAACCATTCAAGACTTGTCAATGCGGTGGAAGTTGATCACCTTTCAACTATGATTCAAGACTAGAAAAGCATCCTATGACAGATATGGCAATTTGAATTTTAACTATTAATTCAAATACGACGGTGTTTGGCATACCTAAAATAATAGCTCCTGTCGCACGCCATATTTAGTTGAAAAACGTCTATGCCCCTTTTACGTGTTATTCATGAGTAGCTCTGTTAAAGTCGATTTGACATTTGCATTTTCCTTTTCTGTTGGAGAGGTAGGCAACTCCATAAGCAAATTATTGAAATCACACTTGCTAGTAGCTAAAAGAATGCTAAGATACATCAGTAACATCAACAAATATATTTAGTACACATCTTGCCTATGGTAGACAAAAAGCAGGGATTAGATGACTTCTCTAATGAAATTGAGTATGTACCAAGGTGAGGTCAGCTTGTCAGAGAAAGTGAATGCAACTTCACGTATAAGAACAAAAGATTAGCAGCAACGCTACTACCATCAATCTAGATAAGTTTTTTTTAATGTTCAGTTCATAAATTTTACAAATGCTTCAATATATAAAAACTGGACATCAAAACAAGCAAACTAACTGCAGATCTGGGTGGACTCGAACCCCCACTTCTCAGAGATTTTAAAGAAAATGCTCCAAGCGCTCTACCAAATTAAGCTACAGATCTTTCAGGGCAACAGTCATATACGAAGAAATAATTGCACTATAAAGTGTTTGAAAGGGATGGTCTGAGCATTGAAGCTTGGTTGAAATAATCGGAAGATAAATATGTATGCATCACTAAGAGGGGATATGATTAAGTTTCAGAATTAGACTAATTTCGTATCACTAGGAGGGTATAAATAAGTGGGGGGCATAAATAAGTTTGAGATAGACAGGGTATAAATAAATAAGTTTAGAGGTAAACATAATGCACTTTCAAATTTTCGTCATTCAATAACAATATGGCTTGGAATATTCGCATATTTATAATATGAAAATGTCAATTAAGATGAGAAAACAAACGACCTTCCTATCTGGGTATCATTAGAATAAATACAACTCATGTTGAATGAAGCTGTAGAATGTGAAAATATTAGTTAATATCAAAATTCAAATTAATTTTAATATCTTGGAAAAAAGTAAAAAAATTACAAAAATATAACAGCTAAAATCATTAAATAATTTCAAAATGCCTTTCAAAAGATAAAAATTTGTTAAATGATCAATCATAAGTATAAGTTGAAATAAAAAGAATACTAAAAATAATGTTAAAAGAATATTATAAATAGAATAAAAAATAAAATACAATAGAACCAATTAAAAATAGACTGTTAAAAAGTAGGAAGAAAGAATTTTTAGTAAATCAATATATAGAGATCGTGTTAAAATAAGGAGACTTAAAATGTATATAAGTGTAGGAAAGAACCGATAGTACAAGTAACTCCAAAAATAATAAAAATAATGGTAGATAACAATGCTAAACATTCCTCACTTCAGATGTTTACTAACTCCAAAGAGAGTAATTATAATGAAATAATGCTAAACAAAAAAATAAAAATAACGTGCCTCTAACTCCAGATTATTAATAAGAAATTAGAGTAATTCAGAAACAAACTCGACTATCTACACAAACTGAATCACCCATGCTGATAATTCTAATTGTAACAGCAGACTTAAATGTAATTTATAAACATAAGTGTAGGAATGAGTGTCATCAAAGGACCGATGGTACATAACTAACTACAAAGAGTAATAATAATGGTAGATAACTATGCTAAACTTAAATGTAATTTATAAACATAAGTGTAGGAATGAGTGTCATCAAAGGACAGATGGTACATAACTAACTACAAAGAGTAATAATAATGGTAGATAACTATGCTAAACAAGAAAATAAAAATAATGTGCCTCTACTCCAGATTATTAATATGAAAAATTAGAGTAATAGACAAACAAATTCGACAATTTAAAGAAATCGAATCACCCGTACTGGTGTAATTCAAACTGTAACAGCAAAACTATATCAATCCCAATATTATACTTCAAAGTTTATATAACCATCAATCTAATAGAATAAATGATTAAAAATGCAAGAATACCAACTGAAAAATTATAATTATTTAAATACTGCATAAGATGAAAGAGCCGATGTCATCTTCACCTTAATGATTGAAAGGAAGGATAAACGGACGCCGGGGCTTCAAAGAATTATCTGATAGTTGTGCCCTTAGTCCTCACAATGGCAACAAACATTGAATTAACTGATTATTGTAGATCTCACGATGGCGGCAACAGCCCAAATTCACTCATTGTTGCTGTGGCCAAGAGGCCTCGTGATCCAAAAACGGCCGCTTTTGTGGTAGTTAACTAAACTGCACGTATAGAGAATCCAATTTCATAGAAGATTTTCAAAATTCTTATCAATGGACTTATAACTGCACTTGACAACTGATAGAAGTAACTGGACTTACTTTACATTTGAGAATAATAATGTATCAAATCTGGGATTTATTCTTTATTAAGAATAATAATGTATCAAATCTCCCATATTTGGGTAACAATCAAACCAACTAGAAAATTATCTAAGCAATGTTGATCAAGGGATTGTTGATAATTGACTATGAATAGTTGATTATAGTTGCCAAATAAATTTCCCTCATGATTTTGTTTATTAATTTTTTTCATGATTTTATTAAATGAGTTTAATTTTAACTATTTAATTTAAATTCAAAATTAAAATTTGACTGAAATTTATAGATAATACCTCGTTGGAGAAATTCCTCGATGGGGTACCGTACCGCTAATAGTAGATTTGTCTAGCGCGAGATAGCATAGAGTAAAAAGTAATAAGGAAAGAAGCAAGGCACACACCACACAAGGAAGAGATCCCGGGCAAAAACCCCGTGCGATCTCTCCCAAAAAACCAACAAATCTTATTTTTATTATTTTGTTGACCTGCCAAGCAAGCGCACCTGACATGGCAAAGGTCGGATGACAAGATAACTCAGGATATAATTCTCAACACTCAACGAATGAGGCATATAATCCTGATACATCCTACATCCGTTAAACTCCCCCACCCACCATAAAGCTCCTGATCATAATAAAATTACAAACTCTGATATGCAACATGTATGAATCATGAAGACAGTGATCTTGAAGTTGTAATAATGAAAGCGCCTACAAGAGGGAACCGATATAATTCAACACTCGATCTGCAACTGCTCCACCATCTACCACAACCCTGCAAAAATTCTTCGATCGCCTTGATTTTAGAATAAATATGGAACTTCTTTATGAATAATTCCAGAAACAAGAACGAACATTAAAGATCACACCTGCACTATATACCTGACGGGCCGAAATTCAGAGATATATGTAAAGAGATAAAATGGATTAATTGGAAAAAAAACGTAAAAAACACGAGAGAAAAATAGAAAGTAGGTCTTACCACCTCACCTCAAAACCACCATTGGAGTTTATCGATTGAACCATCCACGTGTAGATCTCTATCAGATCTGTGAATAACTGGTATCTACTGAACCATCGGTGCGTACCTCCATCAGATCTGAGGAGAACTTGTATCAATTGAACCATCGGTTTGTAGATCAACATCAAATCCGTGAAGAATTGGTATCGATTGAACCACAGGTTTGTAAATCGAGATCAGATCCGTGAAGAATTGGTATCGATTGAACTATCGGTTTGTAGATCGCCATCAGATCCGTGAAGAATTGGGATCAATTGAAACAATCGGTTTGTATGCCTCCATCAGATCCGTGAAGAACTGGTACCGATTCAACCATCAGAGTGTACATCGCCATCGGATCTGTGAAAAATTGGTAACGATTGAAAGTATGTTAGAGAAGTTTCACACGAGATTTGAAATTTATGAAGAGGCGGAGAAGGTTTAAAGAAAGATGAAACCCTTGAAACTGATGAACGATATGATAAGAGGTCTCAACCCTATCTTTTATAATGATTTTTTGATAAATGAACGGCTAAGATTACTTTGGTTGACGGTATAGATTTAATGACGTGTAACGTTAGGTGCGGCATGTTTAAAGGTAGGGGAGATGTTGTTTATTATCTGTCCCTTTAATAAAGAGGGACAATTTTGTCAATGGGTGGCGTCATGGCGGTTAGGTGTGTAGCACGAATACGGCAATGATGTGCTGGCCATAGAACAATTCAACTTCTTCACGTTAATTGCGTCCAAATTTCTCCTAATTTTTTTATTAAAAAAATTTAAATTTAAAATACACTTTTGATCCTCTAAAAATAATTATATTTAAAATTATTTTAAATTTTAATATTATAAATTTAATTATTATATAGTATAAAATTATTTAAAAATACATCATTCTATTATATTATATAATTATTTTAAAATTTTTAATATAACTTAGCGGAATGCATCATAACCATCTATTGATAATATAAATTTTTTTACACTTTTACTTTATCAGGATTTCTTTCTTAGAATTAAATATTTGTTTTCATATTTTTTCATAAATGAATTAATAATTAAGTTAATTTAAATCTTCTTAAAAATTAATTAATTAAAATTTTTCAAAAAAAATTTATATGCTAGAGGCCTGAATATCTCTTGGTGATTTTAGTATCATCAATGTATTTTAATAATAATGTGATTTATTGTAGACCGATGCAATTATGCGTTAAGCTTGGAAACGAGTTAGGGTAGTGCGGAGTGCACACTCGTAGAGCCAACGTGTAATTGAATGCGAATAATTGGCGGGGTGCGGGGCAGAGCCCCTGGATGGGGTCCCGCTGACCTGGTCAGCGGGCGGGGTGCGGGGTAGCGCCCCGTTCGAAATTTTTTGAACAGTTTCTGAACAGTTGAACCCGTTCGAAAATTTTGAACAGTTGTGTCTTTTCGATTTCTGTTATTAGTCTCCTATATAAGGAGTCATTTGGCATCAGTTTAAACACACAAAACAAAAATCATATTCTCTCTCTACATTCCTGATCTGTTCTCTATTGCCAGAAGCAGATTGTTCTTCAAGAATTATCCCCACAAAGATTTCGTGAATTCAGACAATAATAGGATCAAAATACTTTGTTCGAAAAGTGTACGAACACGATTCCTCGAAGTTATCCAGGATTATCATACTAAATTTCTAACAAACGAACAAAGTATTCTCTGATAGTAATGGCTGGAGGAAGCACCATCAAGGAGATGACTATGAATTTCGGAAAATTTGACAAGTTTCAAGGACAAGACTTCAGGCGTTGGCAGAAGAACATGCATTTCATGTTAATAACGTTAAAGGTAGCGTACGTCCTGTCTACACCGATTCCAGAACCTCAGGAGGAATACACGGTTGAAAATCTGAGAGACGCAGATCAAAGTGGGAGAACGACGACTACATATGCAGAGGGCACATCCTTAACGGTATGTCTGATCCCTTATTTGATATTTATCAAAACATGGAATCTGCAAAGGAATTGTGGGATTGTCTCGAATCCAAGTACATGGCAGAGGACTCATCCAGTAAAAAGTTCCTAATAACCGATTTCAACAATTACAAAATGTTTGAATCGAGGTCTGTCATGGAACAATTAAATGAACTCCTCTGAATCCTTGGACAGTTCACACAACGCGGATTGAAGATGGATGAAACAATATTTGTCTCAAGCATCATAGACAAGTTGCCTCCTTCGTGGAAGGATTTCAAACACAATCTGAAGCATGGAAAATACGAACTGTCTTTGATCCAACTTGGAAGTCACTTGCGCATAGAAGAATCTCTAAGAGCGCAGGAGGGTGACAAAGGAAAAGGCAAAGAAATTGATGGACCCTCGGTTAATATGGTCGAAAAGGGTGGTAAGAACGATAACAACAAAAACAAAGGAAAGAAGCGTGCTTTCAAGAACAAAAAAGACAGTTTCGGTGCTAGCAGGAAACCGAAACTAGAATGCTGGAAGTGTGGCAAAACAGGCCACTTCAAGAAGGATTGTCGTTCCGGAAAAAGGCACGATAACTCAAATGCAAGTGGTTCAGGAAAGGGGTCTAAGGACCAATCCGAAAACCAAGGTCAGAAATCAATTTGTGATTTGAATAGTTTGATTAAACATTCGGTTTCACTAAATTCTGAAGCGTTTTATGTGCAGGATGATGCTATCGTGTGGTGGATTGACTCTGGCGCCACAACACATGTTTGCAAGGATCGTTTCTGGTTCAAGACTTTTGTTACAATGGAAGATGGTTTTGTCCTCTACATGAGAGATGATCACTTTGCTCTCGTTGAAGGCAAAGGAAACGTGGTGCTAGAATTCAGTTCTGAAAAGACTATTACTTTGTTTAATGTTTTGTATGTTCTTAAACTACGTAAGGATTTAATTTTTGGTCCTGTATTAAATAAGCTTGGATACAAGCAAGTGTGTGAATCCGATAAATATGTTTTATCGAAGTCTGGTGTATTTGTAGGATTTGGATATTATAATAATGGTATGTTTATGATGAATTTGAATGGAGTTCCTAATGATTATGGTTCTGTATTTATGTCCTCTTTAAATGTTATCAATTCATCGTTATGGCATGCTCGTTTAGGACATGTACATTATAAAAGAATGCATGCAATGTCTAAAGATGATTTAATTCCTGTTTTTGATGAAAATGTAGAAAAGTGTAAAACTTACATGTTAACAAAGATCACTAGGAAACCTTTTAAAAGTATAACAAGGAAATCTATCATTCTTGAGTTAATACATAGTGATTTATGTGATTTGCATGCTACTCCATCATTAGGGCATAAAAAATATTTTGTCACTTTCATAGATGATGCATCTAGATTCTGTTATGTTTATTTGTTGCACGCTAAGGACGAAGCCTTAGATAAATTCAAAATTTATAAAACTGAAGTTGAAGTGCAACAAAATGTGTTGATTAAAACATTACGTGCAGATAGAGGTGGTGAATATTATGATCCTGTATTTTTCCAATCCGTAGGAATCATTCATGAGACTACGGCACCTTATACACCTCAACAAAATGGTGTGGCTGAAAGGAAAAATATAGTTCTTAAAGAAATGGTGAATGCCATGTTATCTTACTCTGGTTTGAGTGAAGGCTTTTGGGGAGAAGCTATGTTAACGGCTTGATTTTTTTTAAATAGGGTTCCTAATAAAAGGAACAAAACTACCCCATATGAACTTTGGTATAAGAAACGATCCAACTTAACATTTCTACGTGTTTAGGGCTGTAGGGTCGTGGTTAAACTCCCAGACCCAAAAAGGAAAACTTTGGGTGAAAAGGGTGTAGGTTGCATCTTTGTTGGATATGTTTAGCACTCCAAGGCCTATAGGTTTTATGTTATAAGACCTAATGACTCGATTTCTATTAACATGATTATAGAATCGAGAGATGCCATATTTGATGATAATTTTTTCTCTTCTATACCTAGACCAAAGGACTCTATACCTAATTCAAATGAATCTCTAAGGGATGATCATTCAAATGATATGCCAAGTGAGACAGTTGAACCTCGTAGGAGCAAAAGAGCCAGAAAATCTAGATCTTATGAATCTGATTTTCAACTATATATAGTTGAGGGATCAAAAGATCAGATTGATGCTAAATATTATTATTGTTATAGTATAGAGGAGGATCCAAGAACGTATGATGAAGCTGTGAAATCTCGAGATTCTGTTTTTTGGAAAAAAAGCAATTGATGAAGAGATTGGTTCTATCATGGAAAATTATACTTGGGTATTGTCTGATTTACCACCAGGATGCAAACCATTGGGTTGCAAATGGATCATAAAAAGAAGATGAAAGTCGATGGTACAATTGACAAGTTTAAAGTTAGATTAGTTATCCAAGGCTTCAGACAAAAGGAAGGGAATGATTATTTCGATACATATGCTCCAGTTGCCCGTATCACTACTATTAGATTGTTGATTGCCTTTGCGGCTATTCATAATCTAGTGATTCGTCAAATGGATGTCAAAACAAC